CCCTTGATCCCTGCGTTTCACCCACCCAGTACAGCGCTTCGTGGCCCCATAAGGGGGCTCCACCGAAGGTCACCTTGGCACCGCCCAGTGCGTCCGCCATCACCCACCCAGTACAGCGCTTCGTGGCCCCATAGGGAGCTCCACGGAAGGTCCCAGTAACACCGTCCGCATGCGTCCGCCACCACCCAACACAGCCCTTGCCCCCTGCGTTTCACCCAGCAAGTACAACGCTTCGTGGCCCCAAAGAGGGCTCCACCGAAGGTCCCAGTGGCACCGCCCGCATGCGTCCGCCACCAACCAGCACAGCCCTTGCTCCCTGCGTTTCACCCACCCAGTACAGCGCTTCGTGGCCTCATAGAGAGCTCCACCGAAGGTCCCAGTGGCACCGCACGCATGCGTCCGCCACCACCCAGTACAGCCATTGCTCCCTTCGTTTCACCCACTCAGTACAGCGTTTCGTGGCCCTATAGGGAGCTCCACGGAAGGTCCCAGTGGCACCGCCCGCATGCGTCCGCCACCACCCAGCACAGCCCTTGCTCCACGGAAGGTCCCAGTAACACCGTCCGCATGCGTCCGCCACCACCCAACACAGCCCTTGCCCCCTGCGTTTCACCCAGCAAGTACAACGCTTCGTGGCCCCAAAGAGGGCTCCACCGAAGGTCCCAGTGGCACCGCCCGCATGCGTCCGCCACCAACCAGCACAGCCCTTGCTCCCTGCGTTTCACCCACCCAGTACAGCGCTTCGTGGCCTCATAGAGAGCTCCACCGAAGGTCCCAGTGGCACCGCACGCATGCGTCCGCCACCACCCAGTACAGCCATTGCTCCCTTCGTTTCACCCACTCAGTACAGCGTTTCGTGGCCCTATAGGGAGCTCCACGGAAGGTCCCAGTGGCACCGCCCGCATGCGTCCGCCACCACCCAGCACAGCCCTTGCTCCACGGAAGGTCCCAGTAACACCGCCCGCATGCTTCCGCCACCACCCAAGGCCCTTGCTCCCTGCGTTTCACCCACCCAGTACAGCGTTTCGTGGCTCCATCGGTCTTTCCACCGAAGAATATTTACAATTGCGGCACTCACAACTGCATATTGTTGGGTCTTTCGCCAGGCTAATTTTTTCTCGACGCGATCCTGTCTGGGAAAAGAAATGTCCTGACGTCGTGGGTCTGGCTGGGCCTCCAGGCCCCGCCTGCGGGGTCGCGCGCCGCGGCCCCGGGCCAGCGGGCCGCGTTGCGGCAGCGCAGAACAAAAGGCCAAAAACAAACAAAAAAGGCCAACGGAAAACGCCAAAACAACTGCGCAGCGCCAATAGAACGCCAAAACAAACGCCAACAAAAACGCCAACAACAACGCCAGAAAGAAAGCCAAAAACGCCAACAACAACGCCAACACAAACACGAAGCGTGTTTGCTGTTTCTTTGAGCGCGCGCGCGCGCGCCCCCTGCGCCCGCGCCGCGTGCGGCCTCGCGCAGCTCGGGGGGCGGGCTGCTTCCCTCCTGCTCCTGCCCGGCCTCCTCCTCTGCCTCCTCCTCCTCATCCTCATCCTCCTGCTCCTCCTCCTCCTGTGGCTCCGGCTCCGGCTCCGGCTCCGGCTCCTTCTCCTCCCCCTCCTCCTCCTCCTCCTCCTCCCCCTCCTCCTCCTCCTCCTCCTCCTCCTCCTCCTCCTCCTCCTCCTCCTGGAAGACATCTAAACTTTCGTTTTGGTTGCTGATTTCCCCCAGAGGCAGCTGCATTCGGAAGGGTCACACGGTATTTGAAATTCCTCCCTGAACCACATATGGATGAGTGAGGGGGGTCCAAGAAGAATGAAGAGCGATAATGGCCGATCGTGGGCGTGCGCAGGGGACTCGAGGGACGATCGCGATGGCGGTAATGGAGATGACGAGGAGGAGCATGAGGGTGACCATCGCGGGGGGGGCCGAGGAGGTTGACGAGCATTGGGAGTAAAGCACGGGACTCCTGAGGGCGAAATTGAGAGGAGTTTAGGGGGAGCAGGAGTTGGAGGAGAAGAACTGTGAGGACGAATCAGAGGCGTGAGGGGGGATATCAATTTCAGTGAAGGCGCACAAGGATCTTGATGAGGAGCAGGGGAGGAGTGATTCGGACGATGAGCGCAGACGAGGAGGAGGAGAATGAGGGCGCGCGGCGAGGAGACAAGAGTAGCGAGGTGCAGTTGGAGGGAACGTCAGAAGGAGAACGTGGAGGAGGGGGAATCAGGACAGGGATGAAGTCGATCAGCGATTGAAGAAAATGGTTCTTCTGCTTGGCCTTCCTCGTCCTCATGATCGTTCCGCTCGCCCGCCGTCCATTGTTTCCCACTTCACTTCCTCCCCCTCATCATCATCATCGTCGTCGTCCTGACTGGCATGTGTATTGGCTTCCCTGTTCGTGGTCATTGAGCGGCCTAGGCTTGGCAGGGGAGACATGCCGCCATATCTATTCGTAAGTATGTTTGGAAGACATGTGTTCCAGCGATGGGCGCCATATTGAACCGTTTTCAACATATCTAAGCATAGCTACTCGTATCTAAAAATGGCCCCGTATCTAAACACAGTAAGAAAGCACACCTCCCGCATCCAACGAAGGAAGACATCGTATCTAAACGTATCTACTTTTGAAACATATCAATTCGCATCTAATTGTCTTCATGAGAACGTTGTAAAACACATATGATTGAGGGAGGCATTTTAGATACCATGCGTTCCTTCCGAATGCAGCTGCCGTCGGGGAAATGAGCAACCACAATAGATGTTTAGATGTGTCTTCTGGATGGATATTTTCATCCTGAGTCGTTTTTTGACGCTCCCGAGGCCCGGTAAGGGCCCCCGGGGGCCGAAAACGCTTCCCGTCGTGATTTTCTTCGCAGCGCGAGGGAGCCTGGGCCTCACACCGTGAGGGCCTGCAGAGGCCGAGAATATGGCCCGAAGCTTTCTCCGTCGCGATTCTGCTCGCAGCGCGAGGGGGCCTGCACCTCTCGAGGCTGCCTCGACGCTCCTGGCGCGCAGCCTGGCCGGTCGGGCCCCCGTGGGCGCGGCGGCGCGCGCCCTGAGATCCGACGTTGCGTTGCCAAAAACTTGCTGCGTCGCAGACAATCACGGCCGGGGCCCTGGACCCCGTCCTCCCAGACCCCCTCCAGTTGTGGAAAACACGACGGGCGGTTCTCATTATGTTCGGCCTCTGGGGGCCCTCGCCGGGCCTCGGGGGCGTAAGAATCAGCTCAGGACGAAAGACTGGTCCCCGGGGAAAGGGTCCTTCCAGTGACCCCGTATTGAAAACGTCTTCTGCCCCATTTTTCGAGCCGGATCGATCCGCGAGGGTCCCCGGGCCCGAAAGGGAACATAAGCGCCCTTAGCAAAATAAATGCAACGCCAGGATCTCAGCCCAGACATGCGACGTCCTGTTTTTTTCTCTACGGCATCCCCGAAAGTCCCGACCCTTTCCCCAAGGCCGGTTTTTCGTTTTCGTTTTTCCCAACCCTCCTTGGTTGGATATTAGTTTTGGATATTGTTTCCTCCCGCCTCCTCCGTCCTCCTGCCCTCTTTTCGCCGTCGCTGGGGGCTGCGATCTGCGAAACTGTCGCCACTTTCGAGGGCTGCTGGTGGGTGCAGCGGAGTGAGGCACCGTGCAAACCTCAGGTAGACCTCGCCGTCCCTGGGGGGCTGCGATCTGCGAAGCTGTCGCCGCTTTCGAGGCTGCTGGTGGGTCCAGCGGAGTGAGGCACCGCGCAGACCTGAGGTGGACTTCGCCGTCCGTGTGGGGGCCGGCGATCTGCGAAACTGTCGCCATTTTCGAGGGTTGCTGGTGGGTCCAGCGGAGCGAGGCACCACGCAGACCTGAGGTAAACCTCGCCGTCCCTGGGGGGCTGCGATCTGCGAAACTGTCGCCACTTTCGAGGGCTGCTGGTGGGTGCAGCGGAGTGAGGCACCGCGCAGACCTGAGGTTGACCTCGCCGTCTGGGGGGGGTCTGCCACATGCGAGACTGCCGCCGCTTTCGAGGGCTGCTGGTGGGTGCAGCGGAGTGAGGCACCGCGAAGACTTGAGGTAGACCTCACCGTCCCTGGGGGGGTGCGATCTGCGAAACTGTCGCGAATATCGAGGGCTGCTGGTGGGTGCAGCGGAGTGAGGCACCGCGCAGACCTGAGGTTGACCTCGCCGTCCCTGGGGGGCTGCGCTACTTTCGAAGGCTGCTGGTGGGTGCAGCGGAGTGAGGCAATGCGCGGCCTGAGCGGGACCTCGCCGTCCCTGGGCGGCCATGTCATGTTGTTGTTGAGCCGCCAACGTTGCAAGCCCCTTGCCCACAGTCTCCTTTTGGACCTTGCGTCTTCCTTAGGTGACTCTGGGGTTCACTTATTTATTGTTTTCCCCTTGATTGTGGACCTGCCAACCTTCCGAATGCCGCTCGCAGAAGTATATGCGTCCATGTCACGTCGCCGCCTTCTCGTCAAATCTCCCAGGCTACTCCTGCCCCGCATTGCGCAGAGGTTGGGTACGTCGCCAGGGTAATTGATTTATTGACGCTCCCGAGGCCCAGCGAGGGCCCCCCGAGGCCGAAAACTGGCAAAAACCTCCAGTCCTGAGTTTGGTACGACGCGATCATGTCTGGGAAAGGGGGGGAGGACGAGGAGGAGGAGGAGGCGGAGGAGGCGGAGGAGGAGGATATGGAGGAGATGGAGGAGGAGGAGGAGGAGGAGGAGGAGGAGGAGGAGGAGACGGAGCCGGGGGGCCGGAGCCGGAGCCAGAGCCGGAGCCGGAGCGGGAGCCGGACGAGGAGGAGAGCAGGAGCAGGAGGAGCAGGAGGAGGAGGAGGAGGAGGAGGAGGAGGAGGAGGAGGAGGAGGAGAGGAGGAGAGGAGGAGAGGAGGAGGAGGAGGAGGAGGGAGGAGGAGGAGGAGGAGGAGGAGGAGGAGGAGGAGGAGGCGGGCCCGGCCTCGTAGGCGCGGGGCGGCGGGCGCCCGGCCGGCGTGCCGTGCCATGCCCGCGGCGCGCGGCGCGCGGCTCGCGAGGCGTACAGCGCCGCGGAGAGGGGCGACAGCGCACCCCTGCGGAGCCTCCAGGAGCTCTTCAGGCGCCGCCCGGGCGGCCCCGTCGGGCCCTCGCCGAGGAGGAGGAGGAGGAGGAGGAGGAGGAGGAGGAGGAGATCCGTAGCCATTTTGGCTCAAGCCGTTGCCTGGGGCCTTCGCCTTCCCTGGGGTCGGGGCTCAAGGTGGTCGAGGGACCCGCACGACTCTCGATCAGAGGCCCTGCCCAGGGTGAGGGTCCTACACTGACTACGTTCCGTTCAGGCTCAGTGAATTTCACACCTTCTCTGGAAGACGCGAGATGGCAGGCGGCTGGCATGACGCGTCGATCTGGAGATGCTCACACTGCGGGTGCGGAAAAACGGCAATGTCAGAAGCATGGTGTAAGCATTGCAGTCGCCACTGGAAGACGGGCAAGCCCAAGAAGACCAAGGGCAAGGGCAAGGACGTGGAGCCTCCTCCAGGCCTCTTTGGTCCTGGTGCTGGCGGTGGCCATGGCAGCGCACCTCGTCCAGTCGGGCTTCAAGGTGCAGTTGACCCCGTCCCAGAGCTGTCAGTGGCAGAGATCAAGCAGCTCGTGTCCCTCGGGGAGAAGAGCAACAACAGTGGCATGGTCGAGTACTACCAGCAGGTGCTGGCCATCCGTGACAAGCAGCTGGTGTCGCCACAAGTGCGGGCGGACCAGGCTCACAAGACAATCAAGCAGCTCGAGAACGACCTGGCCAAGGAGTCGGGCGTCTTGGAGGGCTTGCAGCAGCAGGTCACCAAGCAGGAGGGCACGGTCGCGTCCTTGCTTGGCCAAATCGAGCAGCAGGAGGCGATCTACAAGGAGGCCATCCGTGAGCTCCACGCTGAAGTCACTCCTGTGGCAGAGGCGAAGGCGCCCATGGTGCGGCTGGAGGACCTCCTCAGCGGCACGGCCCAATGGGACCTCACGTGCGGAGAGGACCTCTTCGGGCTGTCGGACTACGTGGACGTGGCCGACAAAGACCGCGAGGAGGCGAAGAAGCGAGAGCAGTTACTCAAGGAGCAGTTCCAGACCCTGGCACAGTCGATGTTCGGGGAAATCAAGCAGAAGGCAGAGCAGTGCAAGAAGGAGCATGAGGAGCTCAAGGCTCGCCTGCAGGCGAAGCGCCGCCGCCAGGAGCCCGCGGGTGACCAGGGCGGAGGCGCTGCAGCGGCGACGGAGGCAGGCAACGGCCAGGCCGCGGCGCCAGCAGCAGCTGGAGGCGCCGACGCCGCCGCCGAGCCGCCGCCGCGCGCCGAGGCGCCCCCGGCGCCGCCGACGTTCGGCAAGGGCATGGCCAAGTCGTCGGCGGAGCTGCGCGAGCGCGCCCGCAAGCTGGTCGGCAGCCACCCGCTCATCGAGGGCAAGGGCCCAGGGGCAGGCAAGGGCGGCCAGGCTCCAGAGGACCAGCCAGATCTTTAGCCCACGCGCCGCCGCGCGTCGGGATATCAGTACCAGTTCAAGAACGGCGTGGCGGATAGTCACAGCCAACACTTCAGGATGGTCTGGCACGGCTTCACTTCTCACCGGCCCCCTGATGCGCGACGATTCTATTATCTGCCTCCAGGAATGCAGAGTTTTGAAGGATAGCGTCTCGCAGAAGGAACAGTCGATGGCGAGCGAAGGGTGGAAACTTAGGTTGTCACCAGGAGTGCAAACTGATCAAGGGGGAGTGTCCTCAGGAGTCGGCATAAGTGTGCGCAGTTGTGTCGGCGTCGGTGAAGTCCAGGGACATCATTCTCATCTCCTCCATTCGCGTTGTTCGATCGTGTGGGTGAACGGCTGCGTGAAGGGAGGCTTCTACTTAGCTACAGTCTATCTTCCAGACGGAGAAGGCATATTAGGAGCTCGTGGGCAGCAAATAATGAACCAGTTGGGAGAGTTCTTGTATGCTTCCAGGAGGCCCTTCATCGTCTCGGGGGATTTCCATAGTTTACCTTCGGAGGTCCAGCAGGCCAAATCGGTTTCCAGGATGAGGGGTATCGTCGTGGGCTGCAACAAACCGACTTGTCGGGTTGGGAAAGAATGGAGGGAACTAGATTTCTTTATCGTTTCACATGAGTTGATTGGAGTGGTCAAGTCGTGCCAGAGAGTGGTAAGTTCAGCCAATAAGACTCATTTCCCAGTGCGTCTGGAGTTGGGTGTTAACGCTCGCACTCAGACGAAGCAATGTTTGAAGATGCCGATGGCTTTCCCAGTCGAGAGGCCCATAGGACCAGTCCCACCGCCGCAGGATTGGCAGGTTCTTTCGAGTTTATTCGAGGGGTTCGCTGGCGAGATGTCGGCGAAGAGTTTCACAGACTTGTACGGCCTCTTGTGCGCCCGCATGGAGGCCGAGCTTTGCGACGTGATGTGTATTCCAGAGAACGAACGGGCTAAGTATCTTGGGAGGGGTACTGGTTATAAGATCGTCGAGAAACCGATTCTGGGGCACATCAAGGGGCCGTTTCCAAAGTGTTCGAAAGCTGCCAGGGCGATTCGGAAGTATCAGGTTTGGTTGGAAGAACTGGGGTTTCTTCTGGGCAAGAACCACTATTGGGACGACCGAGGAGTTCGGGAACTCCTGGATAGGATCCTCTGGAGGCACCCCAATTTGAAGGACCATGCAGGCTGGCGCGAGTTTCGCGACAGGCTCACGCTAGGTCGGCACAGCGTCATCGAGGACGTCCAGTCCGCCCTGGAGGCCGTTCGGGCCATCGCGGACTTGGAGGAGGCTGAGTTTAAGAAGAGCAGGACTAAGGAGTGGAGGACTTGGGTTAACCAATCCCTGGACTCAGGAGGAGGAGGGCTCTACAAGTGGACCAAGGAGCCCCAAGGTTGGGCCCCCGACCCCAAGGGGCCCACCGAGGGCCCAGCTGGGCCCGTCGACACGGTCAAGCAGCTCGTCTCGGAGTGGAAGGAGATCTGGCATGCTGGAGAACCCCAGAGGCTTGGCAGTCGTGACCTTCAGGTTCCTCTTGAGGCCCCTCCACCAGCCCCAACAGCAGAACAAATCAGGGCAGTCTTGAAGAAGTTCAAGAAAGGCACGGCCATAGGCATCGACGGGTGGAGCCCGAAGGTCCTGCAGTTCCTCAGCGACGATGCCTTGAGGGTTTTTGGCCTTTTCTTGTCGGTGATAGAATCAGAGTTTTTGATTCCAGATCAGTGCGACCTCGCCCTGATCGCGTTCCTCAAGAAGCCAGATGGCGGTTTCAGGCCAATAGGAGTGCTCGCAACATGCATTCGTATATTGGGGAGGATACGGAGGGGTGAAGCACAGCAATGGGAGAGGGAGCACGACCTTGCATGTGTTTATGGGGCCAAGGGCAAGAGTTGCGAGCGCGCTGTGTGGCAACAGGCGGCTGTTTCAGAAGCTGCTACGTCGGCCGGCGCGTGCTCGGCTTCAGGCTTGGTCGATCTGGAGAAGTGTTATGAGAAGATCCCTCACGATGTTTTGTGGCAAGCGTGTAAGAAGCACGGTTTCAACTTGAGGAGGGCCCGTCTGCTCATCAGGGTATATGGAGGCCCCAGGAGGCTCAAGGTTCGGGAGGTGATATCCGCCATCATCATACTGACACGGTCAATTATCGCAGGTTGCTCGTTTGCCACAACCATGCTCAGGGTAGTAGTGCATGACGCGCTAGAGTACATGCAGGTGCGCTGGCCGTCCCTCACCTTGTATGTCATGGTAGACGACATCACCTTGGCAGCGATTGGATCAGCCCAGCGAGTAAGAGCTCTGCTAGCGAAGGCGATTCCAGATCTTTGCAGGCAGCTGGAGAAGCTCGAGTTAGTCGTTTCTAAGAAGAAGTGCCAGGTGATGTCCTCGTGCCCTGCCGTGGCAGAAAAGTTAGGCCGTGATTTACGTGCTTTTCGGTTTGCAGTTTGTGCCAGTGTCAAGAATCTTGGCTATGATTTCAGTCTGCAGCTTCGCAAAGGCAAGAAGATCATTCAGGGCAGGGTCAGCAAGCTACGACGACGAGCGCATCGGTTTAGAGCTCTGCGACATCATAGCAAAGGTTTAGCGAAGGTTTACAGGACGGGAGGGATCTCAGCAGCTACTTACGGGGTGCGGATGATGGGGATGACGGATAAGGATTTGAAAGATCTCAGGGCAGTCTCTGGTTTCGCGTTGTTCGGGAAGGCGAAAGGTCGATCCCGAGCGGTGCAATTCCTTCTGGCAGATCCAGCGGATCTAGATCCATCATATATTGTCAACACATTACCCTTGATCACATGGTGGCAGGCTTTGCACCAGCAGTGGGTCCCAGAGAATCTCATGTCTCGTATCTTCACGGCGGCTCTGGAGAGAGAGAGAGAGAGAGAGAGAGAGAGAGAGAGAGAGAGAGAGAGAGAGAGAGACAAAGGGTTGGGCGGCCGTCATAGGCCCAGCAGGAGCGGTTGTGCAGACGCTTCGCAGACTGGGCTGGAAGGCCAGTTCTTTTTCGCAGTGGCAAGATCCTCGGGGGCTCCCAGTAGATCTCAGCGAAGTCTGCATGCCAGATTTGAAGAAGGTCATACATAGAGGAGTGAGGAGACAGCAGGAGTTAGCAGCAGCAGCACACCATGGATGGCAAGGTTTCGCTTTCCTGGATCCTGTAAAAGCCGAACTCAGACAACTTCGTGGGCAAGGGGAGTTTATTCAGGCGGACCTGGTCAGCATGCACATGTCTGGGGGCCTCTGGACTCAGGAGAAACTCTTCCAGGAACGTTTCACGATAGACAGGGGTTGTAGCTGGTGCCGCGGCGGCCGTGGCACGATCTCTCATCGGCTTTACGAGTGTGACGGGCTCACCAGCTGGAGGCGAGAGCAGGGGCTTCAGGAGCTGATCCGCCTTGGCCGCGAGAACCCAGATGCAGTCCCCACCACCTTCGGAGTTGTGGACAGTCAGCGAGATGATATGCCACCGCCGCTCCAGGCCAGAGAATGCCAAATCAGATGTTATCCTCCCAGGGGCAGGTTCACCACTCTCATTTTCACGGACGGATCAGGTTTAAACCCAGATTTCGACTGGCTGACAAGAGCGGGGTGGGCGGCAGTTTCGATGCGACCTGGGACCG